TCCCTGGAAACTTCGCTGACATGTTCAACATTTTGTAAGCAGCAGATGCTGGAGTTGGAAAAATGTAACTTCTGCTACTCAACGCGCCACATCAACCAATCAGAGAAACGGATTTCTGACAGGGATACAGACAGCGCTGCTCATGCAGAGCGATATGACCACTCCACTGAAACTGTTTATAAACACTTAAATTAACTTAAAATGTCGAAACCTGTCAGCAAAATATGTTTGCTTTTATCATTCTGGTGCTTGTAGTTTGTATCACATACCTGAAAAGCTAACATCTACTTCCAGCTGCCACAAACAGCAGCAACGTCGTTATGTGGAGGTCTGTGAGGCTCCGACAGCAAACTAATATTTTAAGGCAGGTTCATAATCTTAATGAACTGACTGCACAGGCGATGCTTTGGGGTGGAATTTCTCGCTTAAAAATACATTTAAGCAAGAATATATTATTATCAATATATTATTACCACAGCGAATATAGCAAAGCTGCTCTCTGCCAATGAGCACGAGCAGCAGAAGAATCAGATGTATCTGTACACACTTTACTGGACGTGATTCAGGAGCAAAAAAGATGCTCTTGGGCGCGTATGAGCTTAATGTGTACCAGCATTAAAAACGAAGCAGCAGAAGCTTTTCTGCTGCTAAAATCACAGTTTGAACGTAGCATTACACTTTCAGATCATTAGAATTAATCTTTGAAACATAATATTGTACATAAAATTATCTCATGTCTTCCTTATGAAATTTAAACCCTTATTCAAGCACACATACTTCCTTCCCATAATTAGGACAAAAGTAGTTTTGTAACAAAGACATAAAGTTAGCTGCATTCCACCTCAAAATGTCAACGTTTTCAGGGTGAGGATACCCCACAGCGTCCTACGCCTCGCAAAGCCTAAAGATGTGAAACACCAAGGTGTACAGCCTATGAAATATTCCTAGCTAAAAGTCTGATGGAAACCCTGATCATTGCTCGCAGTGCAGTCATCAGTCAGCATGTGACCATTTTATCAGCTTCTGTAAAAGAAGATGTCAACAAATTTGGGGGTTTTCTTTGACAGTCCTCCGTCTCTTGTTATAAATGTCTAATAAAGATTTAAGATGTTTCGTATCAAACAGGACGAGAAATGATTATACGTGCTTCTAATTTACAATGCTTGGACTGCAACAGACATTTTATTTGTTTAAACAATGTATGCCTGGATCATTTTCAGACTGTGTGGAATGTGGTGGCGATGTTTTAAACTGCAGCTAAAAACAGAGACCACATAAGCTCAGGTATTTTCTGATTGTGCTGCTTACTTGTTCATCTTAGTTTAAGATTTTTTTGTTTTGACATTTAGGGCACTCCATGGACAGGGCCCTGAAAACATTTTGCAGACTTTTTGGCGCCCTTGTCTTCTTCCCGGCCTCTTAGATCATCTAACCAGATGCTGCTGGTGGTTCCCCGGACCTATTTTAAGACCCGTAGAGATCGAGCTTTTCAGGCTGCGACTCTGAAAATCCCTTTCACCCACTTTGCAGTCCACCAACTCGAGACATACTATTTAGACATTATCCCTTTTATTCATGTAAAGGACTTAGTGATTTTTATCTGTGAAAGACGCACTATAAAGAAAAATAGCAATAGTTAAGTAAAGCCAGCACCAATCCCAGTTAATGTCAGAGTCATCTTAAGTCAGGAAAGGAGAAACAAGTGCTCCAACTGGAAAAACACTCACTCTGGAGCGGCTGTGTATGAAGGTCCGGGTGATCTTCAGCATATGTGTGTATTCTGTGAGCTCCAGGAGGTTCCTCTGAAGCTTCTCTTTGTTCTTTGCCACCTCGCTGAGCTCCATTTCAAGCCTCTGAAGCTGCTCCTGGACGTCAGTGAGAGAGAGAGGGCCAAGCTCAACAAAACATTCAGCAACAGAATAACATGATCGTATCAAACGGGACAAGGACTACGTTAATTAAAGAGCAAAAACCTCCAGGACCTTAAAGCAGTGTGTAAACTTTAAATCCCCACATCTTTAGTCAGGTTAAAATGATATATCTGATATCAATAAAAAAAAAAAAAGCTACGACCAAACGATGGAGATTTCTGCAGACAGTTCTTTCACAATGACCATCTATTGATGTGTTGACAGAAGCAGGTTATGCCGGATGACTGTAAAGGTGCTAAAGGTATTGGTAAATAACTCATTATTTCTTAACATGTGCCTTTGTTTTCTCACCTATGTTGCTGCATTAAAAGTGCAGTATAATTTTAAGATTTCCACATAAATCATCAAAAACAAATGCTTTAGGAGTAGCTAAATTTTACTCCTGAAAACTAATGTCATTTTTAAAAGGAAAAAAAATGCAGAAAAATATCCTCAGCTGCCATTGAGTACAAAAAAAACACTTCCTGTTACTGAAAATAAGAATGCCCTTGCTATATTTAGGTGAAGTGTCAGGCAAGACTGAATGGTTTCATTTTAATCTGAGGCTGATGCCACAGAAATCTGAATCCCAGCAGTCAAATTAACATCTGATATAAAAAAGTGTCAAGATAAAAACAAGCACTTCTGCAGACTTGCCATGATCTCCAAGACCTGTCTGGGCGGAGGAGCAAGCGGGCTCTCGTCCTCTTGTGGAACAGCGATTTTAGCTTTCTGGATCTCCCTCAAAAGGAAGCCTGCATGGTTCATCAAAATAGCATTTAGGAAGGAATAAGGCATCACATCCAGTCAGAGACTATCACACAGAACAACACAATCAGCCAGCGATTCACTGCTTACTAAACAGATGATTATTTGTTAAGGATGTAATGCTCAGGCTGTTTCTGCATCCCTGGTGGCACACAGGCTTACCAAGGATTCTCTCCATCTCCTCGCATCTCTTGATTTCGCTGACAAAGCGCCGCTGGAATGAGCTGACACTGGGGTTGAGCTAAAAATCAGAGGAGCATCATTATTCAGGCGAGGTGTCAGTACAGCATACATGTGGAAATACAATTATGTGGCGCCACAGGGGTTTAAGGATTAGTGTCTGATAAGAGAATATAAAGATTAGGGTTAAAAAGCTAGTTTATCAGAGCCAAGAAAAAATCAGAATGGATATATAACAGAAGAAACAATAACAATGTGGATGTTTAAGAATGTATAAAGATAGATAAAATAGAACCAGATGGAATGAAGGAGGGTGGATGCACAGACAGCTAAACAATGGATAAATGGATGAATAGTTGGTAGGAAAAGATGGTTTCCACAAATGAATAAAATACATGATTTGACAGGGTGTATAAATAGATGGACACAACTTTCAGACATAGCAGAAAGTCTGAAAATACATACTTTTTTCTAATTTTTTTTTTCATACTTTCCAAAACTTGAAAACATTAAACTAAATTATATACTTTTTATGGATGGACGGACGGATGGTTGGGTAGATGGATAGGTGGATGGATGGATGGATGGATAGGTGGATGAATGGGTGGGTGGATGGATGGGTGGATGGATGGATAGGTGGATGGATGGATGGATGTGTGGGCATCTCGTGGCAGTTGTATTTACTTACATCTCTGAACTCGACCAGCCCCATCTCTCCCAGCTCACTGATGCAGTCATATTCAGAGCCGGACTGCAGAAACAGTTGCGCCAAGCACATCTCCTCGCTCCGAAACACCATCTTTATTAAATCTGCCACAGACAGACAGCCAGCCTGGTCCCCACCGCCGCTAATCTCCCAGTGACCGACTGATTCTGAACACGGAGCTGTCTGCTACAACCTAAAGCAGCACATTACAGACCAACCAAACCTTTCCCCTGCAAACAATTAACTCTCACTAATTAATTATTGTCTATTAATAATGGCGACTGCTGTGGAAACGGACCTATCGTCATTGCGGCGGGCTCCGGTTTGTTTACACCTCTCTAAAATTAGTATCTTAAAAATAGCGTCCGACAGACAAAGCGGCAAACCTTTCTAAAGCGTCTTATTTTCGAGTTGAGTGATGAAAGAGAAAGGCGTCATCCTGAACCCTCTTCACCTCATACACCTGCAGCTACAGCGAGGAAAAACGGTAACCAAGCAACGCCTACGAAGAAACATCAGCACAAAAACTGCTAAAAAATAAATAAATATACTATTCAATCATTAACGCTCTTCGTAGACAAGCTAAATTCAGCCTTGCATTTTAAACAATAAAGAAGCTCCGGTCAGAAATGGGCTGCGGCCTTTATTCGCTCCAATTGACATAGATTGCGTCTCTGGGTTGCCAGGTCCTGTTCGTTGCCTCTCAAAGAAAGAGAGAAAGCTTTCCTGTGATTTAGAGCACCGCGGTGCTAGCTAGATCCTATTATTTAACTAATTAGGTCACTGCCGAAATAAATTATTTGATCACAACTTCTCTAAACCCAATAACTGCTTTAAATTGTAATTTAGCGACTCCGTTTGTAAATTGAATTTACATCAAAACTACTTTAAATCCAAATCTCAAACAAAAGGGCAACCAAACTAGTGCTTTTGCATATTCAAAACATTGGTTCTATCATTTTCGTTTACACTTTCATTGTTTTATTTTCTAGAGAAATCGATTTTTGTCATTTGTTGGATTCAAGGCAGTTGTCATTAAATGGGGATTTAACTTACAAACCTGGCAACCTACGCATTTTCTTATGCAGTTGCATCGCTGTAAACTGGGGCAGACTATCGCTCCTTGATAAAAGCTACAAAAAGACTAAATTTATCAACCTTACTAGATGGTTTATAAACTATATAATACCATATAATATTAAGCTGCATTTTTGGCATGACTCAATAAAAAATTGAAGAGCTTTTTTTCACGTGTGCAAGAAATGTTGAACAAAACATCCCTAAAAACTCACTCTAATTCAGGAAAATCTGTTTTAATATTTCAGATTAATACAAATGTGATTATTTAACTTAAAGATAATGCATGTATGTGGGTACCTGTTTGAAAAGTTTCCAATACGTTGAAAAAAAACCAAATCATGATGATGATGGACAAGTGGCTTGATAAGCTTTATTATTAAAACACAATTAAAACAGAGATCATTAATATTGATATTTTCTCTATTCTGGGGTGTTAATTATAATAACTTTTTGCTATGATGGGATATTACAACCAATTGGGTCAATCATGAAACCCAGTATTAACCATTTGATCTATTCAAAAATCATTTTGGATGCATGTCTGAGGTCACAGTTCTTATGAAAAAGCAAACTATGTGCAAGTTTCAATTACCTGGGGCGTGCAGGTGGAGCAGTGGTTAGTGCGCATGACACATGTACGTAGGCCTTAGTCCTCGACCCGGATTTGAATCCGGGCTGTGGTTCTTTGACGCATGATCCTCCACCCCTCTCCTACCACTTTTCGTGTCAGCCTACTGTCAGAAAAACATGCCACTAGTGCCATAAAAAATAAATAAAAGTTTCAATTACCTACTCAGAATTTGTAGGTTATGTCCTCATTACAGCTTTGTGCAAGGCACCAGTTCCACTGGCAGCCAAACAGCCCCTTAGCATGATTCTACCACCAAAGTTGACAGCTGGTGCAGCTTTTTGTGATGGCCTGAGCTGCATTCCTTCAAATGTCCTCTTTGCCAAGATGAGGTTAACCATGTACATGTTGATAGAAATCTGCTTAAGTGGGTCTTCTTCAGACTTATCTTTATTGTAATTTCAAATTAAGTCTGATACAAATAGTGTCTAGACAAAATTCTTTTTTTTAGGAAAAGTGCAAAAATAAAATGTTTTCTATACAAAATTAGCAAAAATAAAAAAAACACCCTAAAGATTGGGGCTTTGTGAATTATATTCCATAAGTCCTGATTTTAACTTTGTTAAAATGTTTGCACTACATTAACAAGTTGGATCAATATCAAGAAATTTGTATCTCTAAAAAACCTCTACAAGTAGTAGAGGTTTTTTAGAGGGTAGTCAGATTTCATTCCAGAACTATTTGAGAAGCTTGTTCATGTCACCTTTGAATATTCCTAGTACATCAACAGCTTATAAAAAGGGTTGTAGATGTTGAAGTTTGGATTTTGAACCTGTGTGGATTAAAGACAACAAAATGTCTTAAATGCAAACTGATGCACCAAATTCTTGTTCTTAAAATTCAAGTTCTATGGTGCATTATAATTGCACCCAAAAATAAAAACTTTTCAGAAGCACAATTTAAGGCTGAAAAAAAAAAAAATTATTCACTTGTAACTTCTGTATAAGTATTTTATTATTTTGTTCAAGAACTCCCATAGTTTGCTAGCCTGGGTGCCAGTCAGAACTTAGCCCCGCCCACAAGGTTTGAGTTCGGGGAAGTTCGGTCTGGCTCTGCTCCATAGTAGCGCGAGTATTATCGCCCACTGTCAGGCGATCCAATCAAATTGTCAGGGCGGACTTTACACGATGATGGACAGATGATCAAGAGTAACGTAATCAACCACGTGACCAAAGCGCGCTAGGGTGACAACAATAATGGCTGCCGCTAGAGAGTTTGGGTGAGTAGATTCTGCTATTAGGTCTGTTCTAGAAGATATCGACAGCAACTTAATTTTAAAAGAGGAACAGAGAAACGCGATCAAGTCTCATCTTCTTATTCTAGGCGTGCAACTGCACGCTTTGATTTTTGTTGACAACAACTATGCCTCGCTTAACATACGTCACGCACTCCGTTGCTCTTATTGGTTGTAGGTCTATCCAATTGAGTGCAGAGGCATTTTTTTTCCTGGTTCGTTCGAAACACGCCCCATAATCACAGCTCTATGGAGCAGTATCAGACTCATATTCTGACTAGAATTGAGTAGGACTACGTCAGGCTAATAGTTTGCACCAATGATGTCTTTAGGAGTTTGGACTTTACAGTGCAAGGACTTTGTTGCCAATTCAATAGGATACTAGTGCTGAGTTTGTTAAAACATGTGATTAGTGTTCATCTCTAAGCCTTGAGAGTCTGAGCCAGGCTGTTGAGTTCCTGTGACAGAGCCGTCACTGTGTCCAGAATCCGCTGCTTGTCCTTCTCTTCCAGCCGAGCTTCACAGCGCTGAGCAAACTTATCAGGATGCCACAGTGCCTGCTGCTTCCGGAGGGCTTTACGAAATGCCGCCTCATCCTTCCGGTCCACACCGTGCAGCATTACATCCAACATCTCCTGGACCGTGCCCCTCGGAGCTGGCCAGGGGATGTCACCATAGCTGAGCTTTGAGCTGCCCGATGTGGAGGCAGCCGAGCTGAACATGTCAGCACATCGCTCATCGTAATGCCGTTTCTTTCCCCGGCGAGTCTCTTCCTCTTTGCGCGCCGCTCGAGCCAGGTACTCCTCGTGTTCTCTCTGCAACCTTTCAAACAGCTCTTTATTGCTTTCCTCTTTTTGTCTACATTTTTCTTTTTTCCTAGATGACGCTGCCAGTCTTTGAGCTTCAACGTGTTTCTTATGAAAATATTCTCTTCTGATGCGATCTACCCAATCCCCAAAGTCTTCCTCTTCTTCGTCAACAGGTAGATAATCATCAGCTGCCAAGAAAAAGCAGCAGGATTTAAAAAACCAGGAAAGATCCCGACTTGAATTTAGAAATTTAGACTTACCATCATATGCTCCAAAGGTTTCAAAGAATTCATCCTCGCATTCACCAAACAGCTTCTCCAGCCACTCCTTCTCTGGGTCTGCTTTGGGTGGACGACTCATGTTTTCCGCAGCCTGAAAAAACAAAAGGAAAATAGATGTAAATGTTGTAAAGCAAGCAGTAAAACCAGCTCATAGGACTGAAACATGATGTTTAAAGTTCATGAAGTCATGTCCCAATCAGCAGCATCATAATAAAGCACCACAGCTTAATAAAATGTAATTTCCCAAAAACTTATAGTTCTTTTTCAGGGGATGTGTGACAGACTCATAAAAAGAAACTCTAATCTTTCACCCAACCCAAAAAACGGAAGTCAATCAATATTTTCTTTTCTTTTCGACCCAATAATGCTTTGTTTTGTTTTGCAAGTCAACTGCTCCCTTAATTACACCCTTTAACACTCTGGTGCTGTATAAAACTAATACGGTATATAAATGCACACAATCATCCCTTTATAGAAACCAAAGCAGGTTAATTTGTATTCCACTGGTCCATTTAACAAATGATTAGTAGCAAAAGAATTTCTCAGTTGGTTTTCTGGGAAAAAGAAAAAGAAACCACATTAAATAATAAAAATAAATTTTTTGCACTATGTCTTTTCTCCCACACTCTACATTTGATCACTGCTGCACCTTATGAAATAGAAATGGTCTGAAAGCAGTACAAAGCAAAACTTCGTTTGGTATACACTCTGTGTATACAGAATGACAACAAAAGCTATCTAAGTAATTGGTTATCTAAAATTTTGTAGTCATCAATTAATATAAAAACGAGAAGTGGGAGTATATACCACTTTTGTAACTGCATTTTGTTGCATTTTCATATAATGCAAATAGTTGGCCTCCATCTTGGTGCACAAATCGCTTTTGTACTCACTGCAGAGAAAACAGCATGGGTGTAGGTTTGCATAGGGACCATAGGGACGTGTCTCTATCAAAATTGTGCACTGACCTATTTGTCCCTACCAATAATTCGATGTGAATAACATGTTTATAATTTACAATACAGCATTGTTGCAACAGTCACTTCTTTTCCTCTTGCAGCTTTGTTGCCTGGCAGCTGCTGCTGCTGCCGCTCCGTCTGACCTGCACGGTCTATGCTGTGCTTTTAAATTATCCGCATACGTAACTCTACTCTTTCTCCAATGAAATTAAACCAGATGAAAGAGAGATATTCTGAAGAATATCGACAGATGAAAACATCTTTTTTATTTTAAATGCAAAATCTTAATATATATATATATATATATATATATATATATATATATATATATATATATATATATATATATATATATATATTTTTTTTTACAATTTTGATCTAATTCCTGCCCTAAATGGGTTGCTCTGTCAGCTAAAAGCATGTTTTAGTCTCTATACTTCAGTTAATGTTTAATCGATTACTAAATTTGTTGACAAATATTTTAATAATCAATTGATTGCGAATAATCTGACTGTTTCAGGCTGAAATGGGCTAAACAGAGTAACAACAGCCCGGATGTACGATTTTTATAGTGAAATGAATATTTTAAATGCTCAGTGTCAGTTCCTCTTCTAGTTCCCGTGCACATGTAAATACAAAAAATTTGCCGTCCCCTGAATGTATAATTTTGCTTCATGGGACGGCAAATAATTTATTGTATTTACATGTACATGGGAGAGCATATAAAAGATAAAAACGGGTGTTACCTCTCTGTTCACCTTAGCACAATTCTATATCTTCAAAAGAAAATATGGGATAAATCCACGTATAACAGACATTTTTAGACTATATTTGGCTAAATAGGCAAGTATTTACATACTGCTTCATTCGCTGGCAAACCTTTTCAAATTCGAAAAAAAGAAGTCCTAATTCCTCATTCATCAGAGCCAGTCATGCTTCAGTAATTAATAAACAGCATCTAGTGTGTAGTGCTTATAAAATTTGTATAAATTAAGTGAAAAATGCTGCTTTTCTCTTTAAACGATATGCGCCCTGATGCTCACGTCAAGCATAAAAAGAGCATGCATATTTTTGCATAGGACCAATGACATCAGAACTTCTTTTATCCCCTTGGCTATGTAGAATTTTTGTATCAAGCTTTAGTCAAGCAGCAATTCATATCCACCTGGGGAGTATTTTATACCTGATTTAAATCCAATAGACTTAAATTAATTTTCTATAACTTACCAGTACACAGCTGTAAAGATATTTAATCATGTATCTGAAAAGTTTTTTGGTTAGAGGTTTGTTTCTGTTTGATCAAGGGTCTTAATCTGTTATATTTAGTAAAAATAAACAAAATAAAAATCAGACACAGACTCAGTAGGGATATAAAGCAACAAACAGAGTAGAACTCTTGGTTCTAAGCAGCCCCATCATAACACCAGGACAGACTCCCTGCATAAAGAGTCCAAAAGACATGTTTTGATTCAGAAAGCTGGTTGTAGACTGTTGCTGTTGAAATTCTTTAGCAAACGTTAGTAATTAAGGATAAGGTTTATATTAGATGGGTGTTTGGTGTGTAATGTTGTTTACCTGTGGATTTTTCATCCAGTTCAGCAGATCTTGTGGTGTTACTCCAGCTCTATTTGGTGCATTTAAAGCTTCTGGACATTTTTTCTTAAGAGGCACAACGACATCATCATATACTATGAAAGAACAGCACAAATACAAGTTGAACTGAAAGCAAACATAAACCAGCAGCGAGAAATAGCCTATCCGGGTAAGGCCTCCAGTCCCTTACCCCTTTTCCCGTGTTTTAGCGCCCTATTGGCAGCGATGTGAAGGGCTGTGTCTCCTTTTCGGTCTCTCTGAAGAATATCGGCCCCGTGTTTGAGCAGCAGCCGCAGCACAGCGTCGTCTTCCAGCGAGCAGGCCAGCTGCAGTGGGCTCCTCAGCCTCTTCCCCTTGGAGAAGTTGACGTCCAAATCCCGGTGCTTTCGGAGAAACGACTTTAGCTTTAGAAGATTGCCTTCCTCCACATACCTCCACACCCGTTCCTGTCTGTGGGACACCATTCTACCCACAAACACACGAAAATGCTTACATCTACAAGTATATTTCGACAATATTATGAGAGTGATACAAGTTAAGCCTCTGTTTCCTGTTCCGTCCGCTAAATGAGTCCGACGTTTTTAGCATCCCTTACATCAAAGTTCCGCAGATAATCTATTTTATCCACGTCACCACTAGGTGTCACTGTTGATCTCATTACGTGATAAACCCAAACCATACTATCTTGTTTTACAGGTGCTGGTCATAAAATTAGAATATCATGAAAAAGTAGATTGATTTCAGTAATTCCATTTAAAAAGTGAAACTTGTATATTATATTCATACATTACATACAAACTCATATATTTCAGATGTTTATTTTGTTTAATTTTGATGATTACAAATGATAAAAAATGAAAATCTCAAATTCATCATATCAGAAAATTAGAATATTACTGAAGACCAATAAAAACAAAGGATTTATAGAAATGTTGGCCAACTGAAAAGTATGAACATGAAAAGTATGAGCATGTACAGCACTCAGTATTTAGTTGGGCCTCCTTTGGCCTGTATTACTGCAGCAATGCGGCGTGGCATGGAGTCGATCAGTCTGTGGCACTGCTCAGGTGTTATGATAGCCCAGGTTGCTCTAATAGTGGCTTTTAGCTCTTCTGAATTGTTGGGTCTGGTGTATTGCATCTTCTTCTTCACAATACCCCATAGATTTTCTATGGGGTTAAGGTCAGGAGAGTTTGCTGGCCAATTAAGAACAGGGATACCATGGTCCTTCAACCAGGTACTGGTAGCTTTGGCACTGTGTGCAGGTGCCAAGTCCTGTTGGAAAATGAAATCTGCATCTCCAAAAAGTTGGTCAGCTGCAGGAAGCATGAAGTGCTCTAAAACTTCCTGGTATGTGGCTGCGTTGACCCTGGACCTCAGAAAACACAATGGACCAACACCAGCAGATGACATGGCACCCCAAACCATCACTGACTGTGGAAACTTTACACTGGACTTCAAGCAACGTGGATGAAGTGCCTCTCTTCTTTTCCTCCAGACTCTGGGACCTTGATTTCCAAAGGAAATGCAAAATTTACTTTCATCAGAGAACATGACTTTGGACCACTCACCAGCAGTCCAGTCCTGTTTCTCTTTAGCCCAGGCAAGACGCTTCTGACGCTGTCTGTGGTTCAAGAGTGGCTTGACACAAGGAATGCGACAGCAGAAACCCATGTCTTTCATACGTCTGTGTGTGGTGGTTCTTGAAGCACTCACTCCAGCTGCAGTCCACTCTTTGTGAATCTCCCCCACATTTTTGAATGGGTTTTGTTTCACAATCCTCTCCAGGGTGCGGTTATCTCTCTTGCTTGTACACTTTTTTCGACCACATCTTTTCCTTCCCTTCGCCTCTCTATTAATGTGCTTGGACACTGAGCTCTGTGAACAGCCAGCCTCTTTAGCGATGACCTTTTGTGTCTTGCCCTCCTTGTGCAAGGTGTCGATGGTCGTCTTTTGGACAACTGTCAAGTCAGCAGTCTTCCCCATGATTGTGTAGCCTATAGAACTAGACTGAAAGACCATTTAAAGGCTTTTGCAGGTGGTTTGAGTTAATTAGCTGATTAGAGTGTGGCACCAGGGGCCATCAATTTTGAACCTTTTCACAATATTCTAATTTTCTGATATGATGAATTTGAGATTTTCATTTGTTGTCATTTGTAATCATCAAAATTAAACAAAATAAACATCTGAAATATATGAGTTTGTATGTAATGTATGAATATAATATACAAGTTTCACTTTTTAAATGGAATTACTGAAATCAATCTACTTTTTCATGATATTCTAATTTTATGACCAGCACCTGTATAACAGACAGGCTCTATTAAACAGGTGCATCTTTTTTTTACGGTCTAACTAAACGTCTCACCAACCATAGACTTCTGTTCATATGTTCATCCCCGCTAAGACACTATTCTTCAGCTGTAGGAAAAAAAAAACATGTTCAGAGCAGATTATATTACCCTGCAAAGTCATGGTCATATCTGAAAGGTGCAGATAATCTTACCTCTAAGTTTCTTACGATCCAGGTGACACTAGTAACACTTTTATCTGAGAAGTCCAGTGATCCTATGCAGAGAGTGGCAGCTTAATGGTTAGGGCTGAAGGGGGGGCGGAGCTAGATGGGGGGGCCAGGGGTGGCCATGGCCACCCTTAGCCCCTACCTTTTTTTTCTTCAAGTAGAATATTCAAAACAACTAAATTTTATATAAATTAACAATTACTTGACAACAAAAACATTCTGGTTAATTATGCACATCAATATACCAACATTAGAGATGATTAGTACAGAATTTATGCTCTTTCAGAACTAGATTTTGTGTTATATGCCGTAAAGAGAAAATGATGTGTCTCTGCAAGTCATCTAAGAGTCTTGATTGAAATCATAGATACTGTAAATGACGATTTTAATAAAAACCTATTAAATGATCAATTTATGTAGATATTAGTACTTGTAAATATCAATTTAATGCAGAATGATACTGATAAAAGTAGGTAAGTAATGACGATGGAAAAGATGTTCGCTCCAGAACTCAAACCTGAAAGAGTTTTATCCAATATAGCCTTTATCTAGATGGATGTTTAAATATATGCATCTATTTGTTAGAAAAGGCTGTAGGGAACTATAGTTTGTCTTTATTTAGAAATATGGAAGTAGTGCTTGTTCCTGTTGGAACAGTGTAGATTGACCCTGAGGTTCTGGTGCCTATTCACTTTTGGCCACCCCTCAGTATACAGGTGCTGGTCATAAAATTAGAATATCATGAAAAAGTAGATTGATTTCAGTAATTCCATTTAAAAAGTGAAACTTGTATATTATATTCATACATTACATACAAACTCATATATTTCAGATGTTTATTTTGTTTAATTTTGATGATTACAAATGACAACAAATGAAAATCTCAAATTCATCATATCAGAAAATTAGAATATTACTGAAGACCAATAAAAACAAAGGATTTATAGAAATGTTGGCCAACTGAAAAGTATGAACATGAAAAGTATGAGCATGTACAGCACTCAGTATTTAGTTGGGCCTCCTTTGGCCTGTATTACTGCAGCAATGCGGCGTGGCATGGAGTCGATCAGTCTGTGGCACTGCTCAGGTGTTATGATAGCCCAGGTTGCTCTAATAGTGGCTTTTAGCTCTTCTGAATTGTTGGGTCTGGTGTATTGCATCTTCTTCTTCACAATACCCCATAGATTTTCTATGGGGTTAAGGTCAGGAGAGTTTGCTGGCCAATTAAGAACAGGGATACCATGGTCCTTCAACCAGGTACTGGTAGCTTTGGCACTGTGTGCAGGTGCCAAGTCCTGTTGGAAAATGAAATCTGCATCTCCAAAAAGTTGGTCAGCTGCAGGAAGCATGAAGTGCTCTAAAACTTCCTGGTATGTGGCTGCGTTGACCCTGGACCTCAGAAAACACAATGGACCAACACCAGCAGATGACATGGCACCCCAAACCATCACTGACTGTGGAAACTTTACACTGGACTTCAAGCAACGTGGATGAAGTGCCTCTCTTCTTTTCCTCCAGACTCTGGGACCTTGATTTCCAAAGGAAATGCAAAATTTACTTTCATCAGAGAACATGACTTTGGACCACTCACCAGCAGTCCAGTCCTGTTTCTCTTTAGCCCAGGCAAGACGCTTCTGACGCTGTCTGTGGTTCAAGAGTGGCTTGACACAAGGAATGCGACAGCAGAAACCCATGTCTTTCATACGTCTGTGTGTGGTGGTTCTTGAAGCACTCACTCCAGCTGCAGTCCACTCTTTGTGAATCTCCCCCACATTTTTGAATGGGTTTTGTTTCACAATCCTCTCCAGGGTGCGGTTATCTCTCTTGCTTGTACACTTTTTTCGACCACATCTTTTCTTTCCCTTCGCCTCTCTATTAATGTGCTTGGACACTGAGCTCTGTGAACAGCCAGCCTCTTTAGCGATGACCTTTTGTGTCTTGCCCTCCTTGTGCAAGGTGTCGATGGTCGTCTTTTGGACAACTGTCAAGTCAGCAGTCTTCCCCATGATTGTGTAGCCTATAGAACTAGACTGAAAGACCATTTAAAGGCTTTTGCAGGTGGTTTGAGTTAATTAGCTGATTAGAGTGTGGCACCAGGGGCCATCAATTTTGAACCTTTTCACAATATTCTAATTTTCTGATATGATGAATTTGAGATTTTCATTTGTTGTCATTTGTAATCATCAAAATTAAACAAAATAAACATCTGAAATATATGAGTTTGTATGTAATGTATGAATATAATATACAAGTTTCACTTTTTAAATGGAATTACTGAAATCAATCTACTTTTTCATGATATTCTAATTTTATGACCAGCACCTGTACATTGGTTATTGCCTGGCCACCCTTATAAAAATTGTCTGGCTACGCATCTGGCAATAGAGCTTGGAATCCTGAGGTTCTGAGTTCGAGCCCCACTCCCACAGACGCCATGATGGCAGCCCACTGCTCCCCAAGCGAGATGTGTTTAATGCAGAGGTACATTTCTCCAGTGTGAGATCAATAAAGTTCAATTATTATTTAAAAAAACAATTATCATTTATGACTGACTCATTTTGTTAGAAATAATTGTCCCTATATAATTTTTTAGTATACTATAAATGCATTTTCAACAATGAAAACCAGCAATTTGCTGGTGTCTATCTCCAGCAGTCAATGGGCAAGAGGGTACACCCTGGACAGGTCGCCAGTCCAACAAAGGGCAACACAGAGACAAACAGGACAAACAACCATTCACGCACACACTCACACCTAAGGAGAATTTAGAGAAGTCAATTATCCTAAGGGTCATGTTTTTGGACTGTGGGAGAAAGCCAGAGTACCCGGAGAGAACCCATGCGTGCTCAGGGAGAACATGCAAACTACATGCAGAAAGACCCTGGGCCGGGAATCGAACCCAGAGCCTTCTTGCTGCAAGGCACCAGTGCTACCCATTGACTTTTGATCATTAATATGACAGGCGCTGACTGATTTAAATAAATGAAAAACAGATGAAAATGTAATAGATATCTATCAACCCCGAAAAGGGTT